TCTCAGAGGACTCAAAGGCCAGCAACCGCATCCGCACGAACTCGATGGGCTCGGCAGCGGTGGCCCCTGCTGCCGTCAAGGTGGAGCCGGCAGTCCTCGACCGAAACTGCCCCTCTCCCATCCTCATTGACTGCCCCCACCCCAACTGTAACAAGAAGTACAAGCACATCAACGGTTTGAAGTACCACCAGGCCCACGCGCACACGGATGATGATAGCAAGCTGGAGGCTGACGTGGACAGCGAGTATGGCGAGGAGCCCTCCCTGCACGCCGACGTGGGCAGCTGCAACGGTGCCGCCGGTGCTCAGAAGGGCTCGCTCTCACCAGCACGCTCTGCCACCCCCAAGGTGCGCTTGATGGAGCCCCACAGTCCCTCCCCATCCAGCAAGTTCAGCACCAAGGTTCCCTCTAAGAAGAAGCTGGGTGGGGAAGGAGACACCGACCCAGGTGCCCTGTCCAATGATGGCTCTGAGGATGGCCCCTCGGTGGCTGATGAGACGAGTAACGATGGCTTTGACTCTCTGGAGAAGCGATGTATCGATAAGGACAAGGCAAAGAAGGCATCTGGTGCTAAGCCAGAGAAGGTCCCTTCCAAAAGCTTGAAATCGGCCAGGCCCATTGCGCCAGCCATTCCCCCCCAGCCCATTTACACTTTCCAGACAGCCAACCTCACCACAGCCAGCCCCGGTTCTTCTTCAGGCCTCACTACCACAGTGGTCCAGACCATGCCTAACAGCCCTCAACTCAAACCCATCCAGCCCAAGCCTACAGTGATGGGAGAGCCTTTCACGGTCAACCCTGCCCTCACCCCTTCCAAGGAGAAGAAGAAGAAGGATAAGAAGAAGAAGGAGCCCAAGGAGGTGGAAAACCCCCTGACTCCCAGCAAAGCTTGCAGAGCAGAGGAAGGCAAGAGCCCTTTCCGGGGGGAATCCAGTGACCTGGGGACGAAAGGCGAGGGGCTGCTGAATGGCTCGTCTGACCCTCACCAGAGCCGACTCGCCAGCATCAAGGCTGAGGCAGATAAAATCTACAGCTTCACTGACAACGCCCCAAGCCCCTCCATCGGTGGTGCCAGCAGGCTGGAGAACACCAACCCAGCCCAACCCATGACCCCACTGCACGTTGTCACCCAGAATGGGGCAGAGGCGAGCTCAGTGAAGACCAACAGCCCGGCCTACTCAGACATTTCTGATGCTGGGGAGGATGGGGAGGGCAAGCTGGAAAGCATGAAGGCCAAGGACCCAGAGCAGCTGGTCAAGGAAGGTGCCAAAAAAGCTCTTTTCCCATCACAACCTCAGAGCAAAGAGTCTCCCTATTACCAAGGCTTTGAAACCTACTATTCCCCTGGCTATCCCCAGGCAAGCCCGGGGCCCTTGAACCCCGGTGGGCAGGCTGCAGCCGAGACACAGGCCTTGAAGCTGAAGAAGGATGAGGAGCAGGAGAACCCAGAGGTGAAGGTGAAGAGTGAGGGCTGTGAGGAGAAGAAGGCAGAGCTCGGCAGCTCCAGCCAGCAGCCCTCGGTCATCCAGCAGCGTCCCAACATGTACATGCAGTCCCTGTACTACAACCAGTACGCCTACGTGCCCCCCTACGGCTACAATGAGCAGGGCTACCATGCTCACCTGCTGAGCACCAACCCTGCCTACCGCCAGCAGTACGAGGAGCAGCAGAAGCAGCGGCAGAGCCTGGAGCAGCAGCAGCAGCGAGGGCTGGAGAAGAAAGCAGAGCTGGGCTTGAAGGAAAGGGAGACAGCGCTCAAAGAGGAGTGGAAGCAGAAACCTCCCATGCCCCCGACACTCACTAAGGCCCCGAGCCTCACAGACCTTGTCAAGTCTGGGCTGAGCAAGGCCAAGGAGCAGGGAGGTCCCGACATGGCCAAATCCGTCATCATCCCCAAGCTGGAGGACTCGTCCAAGCTGTCTGGCAGCCAGGTTGCTGAGGGGCTCAAGGTAAAGCTGAGCGAGGCCAGCCACCTCGGGAAGGAGACCACCGAGACGAAGGGTGGCGCTGAGGGTGGGCGACAGGCAGGGGGGGGGGAGCAGGAGAACCCAGAGGTGAAGGTGAAGAGTGAGGGCTGTGAGGAGAAGAAGGCAGAGCTCGGCAGCTCCAGCCAGCAGCCCTCGGTCATCCAGCAGCGTCCCAACATGTACATGCAGTCCCTGTACTACAACCAGTACGCCTACGTGCCCCCCTACGGCTACAATGAGCAGGGCTACCATGCTCACCTGCTGAGCACCAACCCTGCCTACCGCCAGCAGTACGAGGAGCAGCAGAAGCAGCGGCAGAGCCTGGAGCAGCAGCAGCAGCGAGGGCTGGAGAAGAAAGCAGAGCTGGGCTTGAAGGAAAGGGAGACAGCGCTCAAAGAGGAGTGGAAGCAGAAACCTCCCATGCCCCCGACACTCACTAAGGCCCCGAGCCTCACAGACCTTGTCAAGTCTGGGCTGAGCAAGGCCAAGGAGCAGGGAGGTCCCGACATGGCCAAATCCGTCATCATCCCCAAGCTGGAGGACTCGTCCAAGCTGTCTGGCAGCCAGGTTGCTGAGGGGCTCAAGGTAAAGCTGAGCGAGGCCAGCCACCTCGGGAAGGAGACCACCGAGACGAAGGCTGGCGCTGAGTGTGGCCGACAGGCAGAGGTGGACCCTCTCCTCTGGTACAGACAGGTAATGCCCTGACTGCGAGCCTGGTCGTGGGCTTTCTCTTGGAGGAAGCCCCGCACCGTGGCTTCACTGCAGGGGTTTGCTGGGACTGTCACAGCAGAGAACATGTATTGTCCTCTGCTCATGATGGCACCCTAGGAACCTTCCCAGAAGGTTCCCTTGGGGCCAGCAAAAGGCTGGGGCTGGGAGGCCATGGATGGGTCAGGGAAAGCCTGGGAAAGGGTAGTGGGCTTCTCTGGTCTCCTCCAAATGCAGCCTGGTTCTGGGGTAGGCAGAGCTGGGAGGAGGTGGCCGCTCTGATGGTTGGCTGGTTCTTGCAGGAAGCCGAGCCCCGGATGTGGACCTACGTGTACCCGGCAAAGTACTCGGACATCAAGACGGAGGACGAGCGGTGGAAAGAAGAGAGGGACCGGAAGTTGAAGGAAGAAAGAAGTCGAAGCAAAGAAGCCACCTCCAAGGAGGACGGGAAGGACAGCACCAGCTCTGAGTGCAAACTGACCCCCACCGAAGAGGCTCGCATGGTGGGGAAGGACCCCAGACCCAGCGTCCATGTCCCTGTGTCTTCACCCCTCACGCAGCACCAGTCCTACATCCCTTACATGCACGGCTACTCCTACAGCCAGTCGTACGACCCCAACCACCCCAGTTACCGAGCCATGCCCACCGTCATGATGCAGAATTACCCAGGTGGGGCGCTGGGGTCTTCTCAGGGATGTCCTTTTCTAGGCTGTCCCTGCTTCTGGAGCAGGGAACAGCTGTGGGACATCCTCTCATGCCTGGAGACACAGGTATGGAGCTACGTGCTCCCTCTGTGCCACCCAAAGGTGCCTCGTGCCCTGATTGCTTTTTTCCACCCCCAGGTTCATACCTTCCCTCCAGCTATTCCTTCTCCCCTTACGGGAGCAAAGCATCTGGCAGTGATGACAGCGACAAGTCCCGAGCCAGCCCCAGCGTGAGCTGTAAATCCAGCTCAGAGTCCAAGGCCCTGGACATCCTGCAGCAGCACGCCAGCCACTACAAGAGCAAATCACCCACGGTGAGGGTCAGGAGGGTGTTGGCTTTGCCCAGGTCTGTGCAGAAACTTTGGGATGATTCCTGGATCTTATAACCATCCTGGAGAGACTCCGCCTACTGTGCAGTTTTGTCATTCCTGTGGCTGTAGGATACCTTGGGCTGTGGAGTAATCCCACAGCAGAATCCCTTTCGGATGAATGAGCAAAACCTGCAGGCAGGGCTGGCCCAGAGAAGCGTCAGGGCTCCTCCAGGCCTGCAGCAACTGGGTGACACTTGTCCTGATGGGTGGGATACAAGGGCTGTCTTAATCCCACAGCATTATAGGGTCACCATCACCTCCTGCGTTGAGCTGGGCGATGGAGCTTTCACAGAGTCACAGAATTGTAAGACCTTTCAGATCATCGGGTCCAACCATTAGCTTAACTCTACTGGAGGTCCTGAGAACCAGAAGGTCTCCCCTCAGCCTCCTTTTCTCCAGGCTGAACACCCCCAGCTCCATCAGCTGCTCCTGGTCAGACTTGTGCTCCTTCCCCAGCTCCATGGCCCTCAATGTTCTTCTGGTCATGGGGGTTTCAAGGCAGGGCTGAGCACAGGGGGACCATCGCTTCCCTACTCCTGCTGGCCAAACTAGTGCTGATACAAGCCAGGATGCCATTGGCCTTTTTGGCCATCTGAGCACAGGCTGGCTCATATTCTGCCACTGTTGACCAACACCCTCAGGTCCTTTTTTTGTCTGGGCACTTAACAGCCACTCTGCCCCAAGCCTGTAGTGTCGCCTTGGGCTGTTGTGACCCAGGTGCAGGACCCAGCACTCAGCCTTGTTGAACTTTGTACAATGGGCCCATTGATCCCACCTGTCCAGGTCCCTCAGCTTTGACACAGTGAGGCAAGAGCTGCCCTCAAATGAAACTTGCAGCCTCCCCACTGCTCTTGGGCTGGTCCTGTTGTCTCCCAGCAGTGTCATGGGGAGCCTTTAGGCAAAGGCAGGGTGAATATTATCCCGATGGGACAGCCTCAAGTGCCCAGTGTGAATCCAGTGTAGTGTCCTTCAGCATGTGTCTCCTTTCTCCTCTCCAGATAAGTGAGAAGACATCTCAGGAGCGGGACCGTGGTGGCTGTGGGGTTGTGGGAGGCAGTGGGAGCTGTAGCAGCGTTGGAGGAGCCAGCGGGGGAGAGAGGAGCAGCGACCGCCCCCGCACCTCACCATCTCAGCGCCTGCTCTCCACACATCACCACCACCACCACCTTGGGTACTCGCTGCTGCCGGCGCAGTACAACCTGCCCTATGCAACAGGTGAGAGCCCAACCTCGCCCTGTGCAGGGCCAGGCAGCAGGCATAGCTCAGGGGCACTGGGAAGGAGCTGTAACCACCTTTGGGCAGGGTGAGCCCTCGTTCCCAGCTTTGCTTTGACCATATCAGGCTTTCCCGCTCCCCTGGCACACCTGAGTGCCCAACCTGGGCCACCAGCTCCTGCCCCTGCTTCTCCCCCACAGGTCTCTCTTCCACAGCCATCGTGGCCAGCCAGCAAGGCTCTGCTCCCTCCCTATACCCACCCACCCGGAGGTGAGAACGGTAAGGCTCTGCTCCCACTGCACCGGCACGGCCACCTGCTTCACCCGTGGGCACCCGGGCTGGGGTGGAGGTGGCTGGGATGGGGATGCCCTGAGGGTTTGGGGTTCACTCACCGCCCTGAGGCTTGTGAAGCTGACTTGACCTTGGGCCGTGGCAGGACATGACACGCTGGGACGCCTGGACTGTACGAGACATGTGACTGGCTCACATGGGGAAGTGCTGGAGACTCCGTTAGACATCAGTTGAATGGTGTTAATTGTTCCACTTGACGTTCCTGCCGTGATCCGAGGCAGACTATTGTCTTCTCCCCCCGTCGGACACACACTGACACCCCCCTCTGTCCCCTTCCCTTTGGTGCGTGGCTGAGCTGGTACCTGCGGAAATATTTATTCTACTGGGCACCAGCGCTCGGGATGGAGGTGACTCACCTGCCTGGTGCATATGAAGAGGAAACGGAAGCACTGAGGTTTCTCAATGGATTTGGGACCCTGCCGTGTCTCTGTGAGCTGCTGCTTCACAAAGGGGCTGAGCGCCCACAAGACTGAGAGTGGGCAGGGGTGCTGCCTCCTGCCTGCTCCTTGCTGGGGCTGGAAGCACGGGGCCAAGCTCCCGCTGGAGTCGCAGTTGCAGGAAGGGAAGGGCTGGTGGCTCAAGTGGAACCAAGGCAGGTGTTGGGGGCTGGGGGGTGGGTGTCAGCCTGGCTGGAGGCAGCCGTGGAGCATGGGGACGTGCTGCATGTGGGGCTCCCAGTCCCATGTGTGATCCCGCACCCCACAGCACCACCCACTCTGTGCCTGCCTGAGCAGGAGCTGCCAGCACGTGGCTGGAGCAGTGGGTCAGGGGAGCTGGGGGCTGCTCTTGGCCCTGGCGAAGCAGCTGCTGCCCCCTGGGTGCCTGGGACTTGGGGCTGTGCCCACCACCTCTGTGCCTGCCAGGGCTCCCCCCAGTGCCTTGCAGGGTACACACCTGCCTGGAGCTCCTGCCCATGGCTTTCACGTTGGTTTCTGAGCTGTGACTCTGCAACATCCCAGCCTTTCCTCTGCCCCTCTGTCCTGGCAAGTGCTCCCCAAGTGCTGGAGCAGCACATGCTACTAGGGCCGGGGGGCGGGGGCTGTGGCTTCTTCCCCTCCCCCTTCTTGCTTCTAAGGCAGCTTCCCCAGGCAGAGCCCAGTGAGGAATGAGCACACCTGGGCTCTGCCAGAGGCACTTGGGGCCACACATGTCCCTGCTCCGGGTCCCTGCTCTGGCCTTGTGCTGGGGCTCAGAGCACCAGGTCCTGGGGGATGCCGCTCCCCGCTCCGGCTTCTCCCCAGCGCCCGAGGACAGGGGCTTTCTGGTCCTCTGCTCCTGCAGCCCCAGTGTGGTTCTCCCGAGGCCAATGCTCTACCTCGGCCCCGCAGCAGCTGGGATGCCCTGGCTTGCACCCTGCTGCCCGGCCAGGGGGACAAGGGGGGGACCACTGATCTCGGGGGGGGTGTGTGTGTGTGTGTGTGCGTCCGCGTTGCACCCGGCCCCGAGGGGCCCTGTACGGGGATGCTCTGCCCGCTGGGCTCTGTACATACTGTAAAAAGCAATTGTTTGAAAGCTGTTGTTTTGGGTTTTGTTTTCTTTCCCCAGTTCCCCCCATCCTGCTTTACCGAGTTGGAAAGGAGTGCTTGCTGGGCCCAGCCCTGGCTCAGGTGCCAGCAGTGCAGTGCCCCCAGCCTGCTCTGCTCTCATGGGGCAGCTCATTTTTCTTTATTGTCTTTGCAAGGGGTGGGGGTCGCGTGGCCCAGCGCGCTCCTGGGGAGCCACGGCCATGCCAGGCGGCTGCTCCGCTCCCTG